CTGATTATAGGATGCAAGCTTATAGGAGGTTCTAGAGTACTGCAAGAAGAGCTGTTTATTGTGGTCGTCTGCTGTGGAGTGGGTATGTCCATGGAGGATGTCATATATGCTGAACCGCTCGTCGCTATAAGTGTTCTAGGGAGAGCTTAATCGTGGAATCATCCGTAGAGTTGTTCATCAAGATTACATATATTGCAGGTAGTTGATCATCATATATATTAAAATTAAAGATTATAGGATGATGTAACTGTTACCTAGTGTTAAAAATAATTCTCCCTACAATCTATTGATTATAATACCCTAACACATATACAAACTAACATATATGATTATTAAGAAGATAATAGATGAGTAACATGATTTACAGAGACTTTTGGGGGAAGATTCACAGATGTTCTGCAGTTTAGAGAGAGAGAGATAGAGAGAGAGAGTTTAGATAAATAATGTTGAAATGATGAAGAAGAAATCTTTTCAATTCTTATGTTAAAAACTTCTAACTGATCAAGGTAGCCATACATCCATGGGAATATTTTTATTTTGGTGCTTCACAACAAAATTAGGCGTTTCTTTCTTCTCTGACAAGATTTTAACAAATATACCTTTTCTTCAGAGTTTTTTTTCAGAATTTTGTCAGAATTACAGAAAGCATTATTTAATGAGCAAGTTTAAAATTTTTGATATATGAATATATCTAATCGTCAAAATTTCATCTTATATTTATGATAAATTTTTGATAGAAAGGTATATTCTCTGATTTGTAGTTGACCAGAAAAAACACATTCCTCAGAAAATCGTCAGAATTTTTCGACGAATTTTGAAAGAAGTGTGAATTGGAGTTCCAAAACATCGCTAAAATAGACCGGCAATATTGATGATAATATATTGATGATTTTTAGGGCTTATAATCTTCAAAATGTTTGAAAAAAATTGAAACACACAAATTCAGGATTGTAAGATGAATCTCCGTAAAGTATTTACTTAAGTATTTAAGTGTTGAGAAAAGTTAGGTATATGTCGATGAATCAATTGCAAGAATGTATAGCTTTAGTATAACTGAGTTCTTGTTAACCCACATCATATTTATCACTTTAATATATGCCATGGCGATCTTGTAGGTATTTAATTTAATATTTATTTTGAATATTTCATATATGAAACCTAAATTTGTTAGAAACTCATCAAAAATTCGTCATAAATTCATCAGAAATTTGTCGAAAAGCATCAGAAATTTCTAACGATATTCCTACAAAATTTACAATTCGTCAGAAATTTTGGACTAACACAAAAATACCAAGCATACCCCAAATTGTTTAACAATCCTCGAGAATCGTCGGAATTTGTCGATTATTTTCGACAAAAAAAGTATTTGTGGGATATTTTCGAGGAATGGTAAAATTTCATATTCCTCAAAAATTTGTCATAAATTTCTAAGAAATTTCTGACGAAATGAGTAAACATCTATACAAATTTCCTGGTAATCGACTATGCTTCATCCTACGATATGATAATGGGACACCTCTAGATCCATAACATAGGAGCCTTACCTTCTACTCTCCATCAGGTAGTCAAATTTCCTACCCCCATGAGCATCAAGGAAATAAAAAGAGATCAGGAAACTTCCTCTTCTGCTGCCAGACAACCCTCAAAGGCAAGACCAAGGTCTTATAGCAAATATATCAAAAGCCTCCGGCCCCACACATAGAAGAGCTATACGTTGAAGAACTCTACTAGGTTCCTTTAATCGAGAGATTCTGGAAGGAATCTCAAAGTAGGTACTATACTACCAACAAGTTTGAGGCAGAGATTAATAAATTTCTTCAGGTCTAACTCCGACTATTTGGCCTGGTCCCATGTAGATATGCTCGGCATAGACTCGGAGATAGTTATATACAAGCTGCAAGTAGATTTTCTACATCAACCAATGAGGCAAAAGAGAAGCAATATCTCCAAACAGAAACGCCATCAAGAAAAATGAAGTCAAAAATTTACTAGACGTTGGGTTCATAAGAGAGGTGCGATACCAGTAAGGGTTGTCCAACATTATAGTGGTCCGCAAGAAGAATGACAAATGGCGAGTCTGCATAGACTTCACCAACCTCAACAAGTCCTCCCCAAAAGATTTTTTCCTCTACCCATATCGACAAGCTAGTTGATGCAATGGCCGGATACCAACTAATGAACTTCATGTATGCATTTTTCGGGTAAACAAGATACGCATGCATCTGACGACCAAAAGAAAACTTCATTCATGACGTCTAGGGGCATCTACTGCTATAATAAACACTCAAAAATAAGATCTATCCAGGATCAATGGTGTTCCGACCCATTCTTAGCTTTCGATTCCGGTATGTATTGTGAAAAGGGGTAAAAACACATGGTTTCTTTGACCAAATCTTAACATTATAAAGATCTGAAAAAATAAATATTATCATTGCTGACAAACAAAAATACTAGTTTCCCGTTGTAATTTATTCAAGTTATAAGTTTCTCATCTTTATCTTTTGGTGCTTCAGTGTGAGGTACATGTTCAAATACAACATCAAATGCCACTACCACAAAGTTTCTTGATGGTAATATTTTTGACATTAAATTTTTATTTCACTGTTCAAACATGAGGTTTTCTAGGAAGTCAAAGAGGAGTAAAAAAACCAACAATTTAAAGATTATTACGAAAAGCTCTAACATTTATAGTTAAAGAATCAACATATTTGTTTGTCCTCGAAAGATATATAAATCCTCAAGCTATTGAATCTATGTTTTAGGTTATCTATCTTTTTCAGCTTTGTCGGAAAGTTGGGGTACGTTTTTGGATTCTTAATCATGGTAATCAAATCTTTGCGGTTCGTTCCAAAATTATGGCAACTAGAATAACTGAATCTCTCATGATTAAACTTTGGGAAATTTTTTTAAAGATATTACCAAATCTATTTTTGTTATTATTTTAAAAATCTACCCAGTCTCTCCTTAAAATCTCTATTGAATAATAGATCCCAATAGAAATGATGACATGAACATAATTTCTAAAGCTAATGTCAATAGCCGAAGAAATATTTTGTGTCATTCATGTTGTGTTAGATATTGTTGATAAATTATTTAATTCTTGACACCAACTTCATGGAGAAATATCTTTCAAACTATTTCACAATTAAAGAAAAAAATCATTTTAATATATTAACATGTATATTTTTAATAAGTGAATTAGTCAAAAATCCATATTAGAGACATATATTAAAGATAGACATTTAATAAAATTACTTGTGGATGAGACAATTTCACACTCGAATGGATGAGATCGATTTTCTTTCTGGATGCATGCACGTTTAATTGTAGACAATTGAAATATTATACTATACCATATTTAACAATAGATTTATGGAAAAATACATACCATAAGGAGGAAATTGATTAATATAGTAGAACAAGAGAATCTGAGAAAAGAAGGAGGAAGAGGAGAAAGAATAGCAAGGGGGAAAAGGAGGAAGAAGAAATTGAGGAGAAGGGAAAAAATATTATAGCACTATACTTAACTATAGAATAGTATACTATACTATAATATTTACAAGAGTGTTTATAATATGTGTATGCAAGATGTTACAAATTATCCACTATTGTTTGAAGAATCATACGATCTATCAAGCACCAATTTAACTTTGTTGGAGAAAAAAGTATTTTGGTTAGAATTAGAGATGACAATCATGGACCTGGACCGTAGACCTTTAGCAGCTAATCCTCTTGATAATACGGTACATAGTATTGGGACGAGATTTTCTAGGCCCGTAAATTTATGGGCTTTGGAAGACAGGTTTTTGCAGAACTGTATCTTTTACGGGATGGCCCGAAACGGGTCATGTGGGATTACAAAGACCTGTAGTTTTTCTTCATTTCTTATTGTACATAAAGAAAAAAGAAAAATAGAGTGAGAAGAAAGCGATTCATGTGGTTTCCGCCAAGAAAACATAGGAGCTTTGGCAATGATGCTTTGAACTGCGGTAATGATGATTCGATCTCTGGCGATGACGATTGGAGTTCTGGCGGTGTTTTGATTTGGTTTTCTCTTTTTATTTAATACGAGATTGACAGCTTTGATTTGGTGTGGTTTTATTTAGTTTTTGGATTCAACAAACTAAATAATTGGTTATGAACTTATGAGTTATAAGGTAATGAAAATATCTTCTTCAATTATCTTTACTTGGTATAGTAATATATTTTGGGTGTGATAAAAGTAACTACAATTATTGTTTGAATAAAATATAAGCAAATAAATGACTGATAAATCATATCCAGTTGAATCGATGACTTGACTCATGTCCCACAGTTGCCTGCAGCATTTTGGAATGGCCTGAAGCGTGCCTGTCCCACGGGTCGACCTGCAAAGGTTTATACATATAATGAGATGGGTTTGGACAATTATTCCAGAAGCCGCAGCCCGTGCAGACCTGCTCACTGTGATCTGCTTGAAGAAAATCCCGCTACTGTCCAAGATGAGATGCGATTGAACAACCTGTTTGCCATCTCTAGTTAGAATTGCAAATAATATATACTATATCCTAATACATAAGCTCATATAGGTAGATAATAAATTATATTTTTTATACACTCTAATTTATCTATTTTAAAACTCTATCCAAAAGAATATCTCACAATATTTAGTCGAGATATCTTTGATGAATTTTCTAACAGTTACAATATTACATACCAATTGAGATATTACATCCAAATTCTCTCCTTTCATGGGATATATTTCCTCTATTAGTCTGAGTTTTGTTATAGGTTTGGTGGTCGTCTGGAAAATTTTCATGTTAATAAAGATATATATATATATATATATATATTTTTAAATTTTGTTAACTTCTTAGTTGGATAACTCTGTTAAAAAAATCCCTAATTTTTTTTGTCATAAAAAAATTCACAAAGAGGAAACAAAAATATACGATGTTTAAATATTCTTAATTATTTAAATAGAAAATTAGAAGAAAAAAAAAACTAAAGCCGTGTTTCTTCGTCAGTGTCTGAATTCGGAGGAGACTCTCTATTAATTAAATTCGGTTCATTCTTCCCTGTCGGCGAACTAAAGCTGCCTCCTGGTCGACCGCCATGAGACGAAGGAATCAGGACCGCCGCTACATCTGCCGTGACAATGGAAAAGATACGGTCGTGCATCCAGTCGACGATCGTGCCCAATCGGAGCATCAGCAAGAAGACACGACCTCCACTTCTCAGCCATCACAAAACCTCGATCATCCCACAAAACCTCGCCGTATTCGGCGCCGCGGCGGTGGAGAAAAGTCAACACCTAGCTCCGCGGAGAAATCAGAGGTGAATTCAACCGAACCTGATTGCCTGGCCGATGAGTTGGTCAGCTTAGACCTGAAACAGAATTCGAATCATGTAAATAATGATAATTCAAGTGAGAACATGGCGGAGAAGCTTCATCTCAGTTCTGGTGAGGCGAAGAGCCCGGACGTTGAAGAAACAGTTGATGCTGAGTATGAGACGAAGGAAGATATTATGTTGACTATTCTGAATGATTTGCGATCTAGCGTCACAGAGCCGGAGCTAACCGATGAGCAACTAAGGTTGAATGATCAGTTACAGGAAGATGAGGTAAAAGTCTTTGAATCAAGCTAAGGGTAAAAATGGTTTAGTGAAAAAACTGTTATTCATAGAATCACATTGCTCTGTTGTGTTTTAGTTTCTCTGTTCACGTAGACTTACTTGTTTTTTGACATTCATTGTAGCTTCTGGCACTAGGGTACATCTATGGAGGTAACATGTTCATCCTTGAACGGCATAAAGATATGCGATACTTTCAGGTTAGTAATTTTTCATAGTTAGTTGCAGGTTTTACATCTCGATAATATAACATAAACAAATGTTCTGACTTCTGATAGTCTTACACATTTATTGATTTTTGTAGATTCATGTAAACGTAGAGGCAACTAGTGAACATACTATCTCTGCAAAGCTTAACTTACAAGCTGATTCAAGCAAAGAGTCAGAGGATTTCTTGTACTCCTTCCAAGCCCAGCACCTTCCGCCGATTGTATTGACATGTTTGTTACCAAATGCTTATCCGAGCCACTTGCCGCCTTACTTCTTGATAAGTGTTCAGTGGATGAACCCTGATAAGATTTCGAGTCTCTGCTCCATGCTGGATTCGATTTGGACTGAACAGCCAGGGCAAGAAGTGTTGTACCAGTGGACAGATTGGTTACAGAACTCGTCTATTTCTCATCTTGGCTTTGATAATGAGATTGTTCTTGGTCCGTATGGCGTTACATGTTCAAAAGATAAACGTGCTGTTTCTGGAAGTCGTTCACCTGATGCAGATATCCCTTATATTAGGAGTTACGACGATGAAAAACGCCGTGAGAGCTTCCTTGAGAGCTTACACGAGTGCTGTATATGTTTCTCTGAATCTGCAGGTAGTAAAAACATGTTTTTTTTTTTCTTTTTCTTTCAGTACTCTATGGGTTATGTTGGTTCACCACCTTTTTTTTTTTAATTTTCACTCAACAGGTTTCGACTTTGTTAAGTTACCATGTGAGCATTTCTTTTGTGTAAAATGTATGAAGACGTATACAGACATACATGTCACTGAAGGTACAGTTAACAAGCTTCACTGTCCGGATTCGAAATGTGGAGAGATTGTTCCTCCAGGTGTATTGAAGAGGTTGTTGGGAGATGAAGCGTATGAACGTTGGGAAACTCTGATGTTACAGAAAACACTGGAATCCATGACTGACGTCGCTTACTGTCCTAGATGTGAAACACCGTGCATAGAAGACGAGGAGCAGTTTGCTTTATGTTTCAAATGCTACTACAGTTTCTGTACCCTTTGTAATGAAAAGCGACACGTGGGAGGTACCTGTATGAGCCCGGAACTCAGGCTTCAAATCTTGGAGGTATTGTTACCGTGCATTTGATCAAATCCTGAGGATTTAAACTAAACTCTCTCCTCTCTCTCTTAAATGTAACACTATTGTAGGAACGTCAAAGTTCTTCACGTCTTGGAGAGGAACAAAGGCGAAAAGAAAGGGAAATGATCAATGAGATGATCAGTGTTAGTGTGATAAAGCAAAGCGCAAAGCAATGCCCGTCTTGCAAAATGGCCATCTCGAGAACCGGGGGCTGTAATAAAATGGTTTGTAATAACTGTGGCCAATTCTTTTGCTACCGTTGCAACAAAGCTATCACTGGTTATGAACATTTCAGGTTTGTGATTCCTACATATATATATATACATAAGTAGACAACATATCTTGGAACTAAAGTAATAACACTTCTTTTTTCTTGGGGGGAAAGAGAGGGATCATGTGAGCTATTCCCACAGGACGCTATCCAAGAATGGAATGAAATTAATGAGCGACAAGTTTTTCAGATTCAAGCTCAGTTGTTTGCACCACACGGTCAGTTTCCACAGCGCGGTCAGATATGTCCTAATTGCCGCCAGTTCAACCTAAAGGTAAAAAGAAAACTCAATACCAATGTGGAAACATACGAGTTCTTGGAGATNGTGAGCTATTCCCACAGGACGCTATCCAAGAATGGAATGAAATTAATGAGCGACAAGTTTTTCAGATTCAAGCTCAGTTGTTTGCACCACACGGTCAGTTTCCACAGCGCGGTCAGATATGTCCTAATTGCCGCCAGTTCAACCTAAAGGTAAAAAGAAAACTCAATACCAATGTGGAAACATACGAGTTCTTGGAGATAATTCTTGATTTTGGGTTATTGTGTAGGCGGGAAACAACAATCACTTGTTCTGCTGGGCGTGTCAAGCACATTTCTGTTACCTTTGCAAGAAAGTGGTGAAGCGATGTGCTCAGCATTATGGCCCAAAGGGCTGCAAGCAGCACACCGATGGGTAAAGGCGTGGTGGGGAAGATGTACGAATATATATTATGTTTTATTTCTCCAGAGGTTGTCGTTTGTTGTAAGATTCAAAAATACAATGATTCGTTTTTAGACTTAGGTTTCTCTATTTACGACACAGTTTTCCTCTCAAGTCTTATCATGCTTAAGGTTTATAAAAACATTGATGATTTTGGTTCAATCATTGAAGATGGCCCCTCATGTTCGAGCGTTTCCAAGATTCTACTCGTTTTTTTTTTCCTGGCAATAATTTTCCCATATTGTGGGTGAAAATCTCATAACTGATAATTAGCATTTAAGTTTTTGTCGTTAAAAATAGTTTTCACAAAGAAAAATTCCAAAAAACTTTATTAATAAAAAGACAGTAATTTATTTTTCATTCTCAACGAGTAACAATAAAATTTATAAAAACTAGCGTCGATTCGCTCTAAGGAAGGAAAGTTATAATAAAACTTATTATATATAAAAAATATATATGAATTTATGAAGTATTTTAAAAACTAGTGTCAACTGAAAATGAGATTACAAACAAATAAACAATAAAAGATTTTTTTTTGATAAAATTTTATCGGTTGATCCGGTCGGCTCCTGGAAGAACACATTTAGTGCTATAGAGTGGACTGGCTTCACACTGCATGATCTATGTTTGAAATACTTTCCGACCCACCATATAAACCACGTGGGCTGAAACCCAAATCCAGACTGGCCAAATAATAATAATTTAATTTTCAGGGGAAATCGAATCCAGAACTGATGTGAATATATACCAAATCCCAGAAAATTACCACTAGACTACCATCACTTGGTTAATAAATAGGATTTTGAGATCATAGTGTTATTTTTAATACACATTTTGGTTATATTCATTCAGTGATATTTGTATGTTTTAGTTTTATTGTTTAGTTAAATGTGTGAATTATAAATTTCGTAGAATCGCTATTTGTAAAATGTAAAAAGATTGGGTTTAAGAGTCATTGCATTTGGATTAATTTATAATATAATAATTAAAATGGTTCGATAGAGAACAGTGTTTAGTATTGATTTATGTTGGAAAGCTATTTTTATTTGCCTCTTTTACTTTTTTTTTTAGTTGTGTGTGATGTAGGTAAGTAAGGAAGTTATGTACAATTATGTTTCACCTATGTATTTTTGTCTGGCTGTTGTATTTTACCGAGTTCATCCAAATTATGCAAATATTATTTTCTTAGTTCCATTCTAATAAAAGAATTATGGTAGAGTTTTTTCATATTATTATACCATATAGATAAATGTAAATATTATACAAAATTATAATGCTTGGCGAAGAAATCAATATTATGTCCGTGTTGTTTTAATGTTTAGTTACTATTTTATTTCTTTCTGTATGCTATAGGTATTGAGCTAGTTAGTTATTGCTTAAGCTACTATATATTTATTTTACACTTCATTCACTATGTTTGTGTACTAAACATTTGAATCCATGTTCATTGTTTAGATTTTGTCAAATAACGTGGTCATAATTGATATTTTATTTGTGATTTCTTTCATATGTATCCGTAACAGCACAGTTGACCCATCCTAAACAAAATTACATGCTTTCTAATTTAAATTATGGTGGTGGACTAATAATGTTGTTGTAAAGGGTGGGACTGATATTTATTTTGTATAAATCATAAGTTTGGTTGTTTTCCTCACTTTCTTATCACTCTTAAAACAATTTTGCATTTTTTATTTCAGAATCTGATTTTGTTGTTGTAGGAGGTGGATTTCACCCTCCATAACACTCAGCGAATAGAGGATTAGGCCCAACAAGAATCATTCTATTGGTTCGGCTATCAGCTGAAGCGCTAAGAACGACCACGTGTATCTACCGCCAATAAAGCCGAACTGAAGTTGAGCTAAGGAAAACGAGACGACCGGCATCTCAGCGGCTTGATCTACGGCCCATCAACTCGGCCTTGTCCGAAAGGCCCATTAGGAAGGATTGGCTTAGAGCATCCGCACGAGATGAGCTATATAAGGAGGAGGGAGAAAGCAGAAAAGGGGACATCAGAAGATACATACACATACTTGGCGGCTAGAGTTAGGGTTTTACTTCCTTTGTAGTTACGCCGACTTGTACTTTCCTGGCCAGCTCTCTGAGCACCGGCTTGTTTCTACCGCTTCTTTCCCTATTTGTAACCAACAAACCTTTTTCATCATCTAATAAACATCTTTGAAATAACCCACCGACGAGTTTCGTCTCTCTTACTAGTTTTCAAATAAACTCGGTTCAAACAGTTGGCGTCCACCGTGAGATTTATCAAAGTAGCGTCAACAGAAGATGAGTCCAAGTAAAGAAGATTCTACTTCAGGTGAGGAGGTTGACGCGATAAAACCAACTCCGTCTACCGCAAGACCACTCGCCCCAGATTTCCTTGATACCATCATGGAACGCTTCGCCCGGTAAGATGAAGCCCATAAAGAAATGACTGAGAAACTCGCCGTTATGGCAGCTATTTTTTCACCCTTAGCTAGGACAGTCGCCGCGCCGATGGAACCATTCCGGCGTCAGCTGTTCAACACTGACAGAACAGTCGATACCGCAAACCAAGATGCCGATACACAAACCCAGGCTGCCAATGATTTAATACACACCCCGGCACTCAGATCTGCAGATGATTTGAGAAATCGCCAGACTCAAACAATCACTTCTGGACATCAACTCGAAGATCCACTGCGTGACAACCTCTGCTCCATAGATCGAGAGCGTCCTCGCTGACACCCTTCGAACTCCGTTCACCTGGGCGATAACCGATGTGCGACTTCGGCCGATGGAAAAACTCCGCCTGCCGACTTTCAATGGTCTCTCTGACCTGACCCGCCATATTAAATCTTTCAATATCACCATGCGGCGGTCAAATTTCTCTGACGAAGAAAAAGATGCCGGTTTTTGCCAACTGCTCGTCGAAACACTCACCGGCGCGGCTCTCAACTGGTTCACCGGCTTACCTGAAAATCCGGTCGATAATTTCCATGATCTGTCGTCCGACTTACTCAAGAACTACATCATGTTTACTCGCCAAGAAGCCACCACGTCGGAACTTTGGAACCTCTCTCAATCCCAGAGATAGAGCCTCCGCGAATTCATGGAGAAGTTTAAAGCCATCGTATCCGAAGTTCATGTTCCTGATAGCATCGCAGTAGACGCCCTCATGAATACTCTATACGTACACTCAAAGTTCCGAAATGATCTATACCGGCACCCGACAAAAACCCTCTCAGATGCCATAGCTCGGTCTTACAACTTCATTCGCATGGAAGAAGACACTAATGCGATAATCAGTAAGCAAAACACAACAAAGCAAGCATCCGCCAAAAACACCGATACTCGCCACGAGCCGCGATAACACCCCAGGGGTGACAAAATGAACCCAAAGAAAAGTTACGTTTATGTCGTCAACGAAGATGAGCTTCTGGGATCCACGGTCGTAGTTATGGGGAAAGGGTGGAAGCATTGGGACAGGTTCGGAAACGACAAGAATCCCCAAGGTTCGTCCGAACCTTCAGGTTCGAATCCAACTGAACCCGACAAATGGTGTACCTACCACAAAACCAAGAAGCACGACATGAAGGAATGGAAAATCTTGTACGATCACTTCCTCTGATCTGTCGCCAACGGCAAGCTGGAGATTTAGCCTCCAAACACGAAACCGAAAATAGGAAGAGCTGGAGGAAAAACAAGGAAAAGATAGCTCAGAAGTCGGAGGGCAAGGCTCCACAGACTGAGCCCTGGACACTATCTGTTATCAATTTCCTAATTGAGTTTCTGAATGGTTCTCAAAACTATATGTATCTCTCATGAATCCAGAAAGTACTTGGGGGCCATATTGAACAGAAAGAATCAATAGTTCTTCCTGAAAAAAATCGATTTGATTTTTTCACGGTACAGTTGATGCGTCAATTATGTTTTCATTTTAATGTGGATTGTCTATTTTCAGAGTCTAATTGATTGTGTAATTCTGAGTAGGGAAGCCGATTGATCCAAGTGATTTGATAAAGATCGAATCTATAGTGAATAAGCTAATCGAAGACAAGCTAGGTGTATGTTCCCAGAAAGTGGCGCTTTCTGAAGCCAAGCGCATCAAGGGTCTAAGAGAAGTATTGGGGGAAGTAAGTTTAAATCATTTTCAGTTTGGTTTCGACCATTATTAAATCATTGTATCTCTTTCTATTCATAGGCCTCCTACGATCCTGTTAAAGTGGTGGCAATTGGGAGACATGTGGAGGAACTCTTGGCTGATCCTGAAAACAATGAATGGTCATCACTTTCCACTGAATTTTGTGGAGGTGAGTTTACATTGGCTATTGGGACCCGATATATCATTTTAAAGCTATTAAAATAAATAATAGAGACCGAAGAAACCATTGTTGACTGGCTATTTTGACCAATAATACCAGGAACCCACATAGCAAACACTGGCGAAGCCGAAGCGTTTGTTATTATATCGGAGGAGGGAGTGGCCAAAGGTATTCGTAGGATAACGGCTATGACTGGTCAGTGTGCTCTTGATGCGATGAATCTGGAATTCTTGCTCGGACAAGAAGTATATGATGCATTTGAAGCAGAGGGGAGTGCACTGGAGGAAAAAAGTTAAGGTTTTGAAAAGACGCTATGAGGAAGCAGTTATCCCAGCTGCTAGAAAGGCAGAAATCAAGGCTAACATTGCTCTGCTTCAGTTAAACTTTTTTTCCATCACCTACAGCACATAACCTTTGTTTACAACTTTGTCCTAGTTTCTGATCAAAAGAATCTTAACCGGCGATTTTAATTTTGTTTTTGTTTTCCTTGAAGAATGAAGTGCGAAAAGTTCAAAAGGAAATAGCAGAGCAAAACCGAAAGAAAGCTGTCAAAATGACGATAGAGGCTGCTGAGTCTGCAACAGCAGATGGGAAAACATTCTGCGTAATCTGTGGGAGTCGATTTCACCCTACTGTCAAATAAATCGTAAAAAAGGAAACTTCGGGAAAACCCTAAGTTTCCAGAGGAACCGGCTATCTGCGAGAACCGCACAACGAAAATAAGATGACGAAAATACTTAGAATTTAAATGAGAATAAACGAAAACAGAGAGCAAAGAGGTTCTTATTCCGAATCTGCGTTGAACT